GAGGAGGAGGACGGAGGAGGAGGAGGAGGAGGAGGGAGGAGGAGGAGGAGAGGAGGAGGAGGAGGAGGAGGAGGAGGAGGAGGAGCAGGAGCAGGAGGAGGAGCAGGAGGAGGAGGAGGAGGAGGAGCAGAGGAGCAGGAGGAGCAGGAGCAGGAGGAGGGAGGAGGAGGAGGAGGAGGAGGAGGAGGAGGAGGAGGAGATGAGGAGGAGGAGGAGGAGAGGAGGAGGAGGAGGAGGAGGGAGGAGGAGGAGGAGGAGGAGGAGGAGGCGACGCGCGGCGCTGCTGATCCAAAACGAGGACCCCCCCCCACACCTGCAGGCAAGCCAGGATGAAAGACGCGAGGGCCCTCCCCAAGCCAGAGCCCACGAATGCGTCCAAAAACCTGCGAGAACGTTCCAGCAAGCACGAGGACAGGAAAAGAGAGAGGAGGAGGAGGAGGATGAGGAGGGACAGGAAAAGAGAGAGGAGGAGGATGAGGATGAGGATGAGGATGAGGATGAGGATGAGGATGAGGATGAGGATGAGGAGGAGGAGGAGGAGGAGGAGGAGGAAGACGAGCAGGACGAGGAGGAGGAGGAGAAACCTGCGAGAACGTTCCAGCAGGCACGAGGACGTGCGACCCCGGCCCCCCGGGCCCCCTGCGGGGCCGCCGCCCTCGCGCTCCTCTCTCTCCGCGCCCCGCGCCCGCGCCGGGCAGCTGCGGGGCTCCCGCGCCGCCCCCCCCGCCCGCGCCCGCCGCTCGCCCTCGCGCCGCCGTCGCGCAGCCCGCGGAGCGCGCGCGAAGAACTTCGCACCCTCGCGGTGACCCAAAGGGTTCTTAGAACACTGTTTGGTAGGGCTATACTGCAGGTTCGTGTCGTGTCGACCCCGGCGTTGGTTCCCGACACCGCGCTGGATCGTTCAACCTTGAACGATTGGCCGTCTCCGCAACGTCCGATCGTTCAACATCGACCGATTCTGGGCCGCCGTCGGCGTTCAACGTTGAACGTCGGCGGCGGGGTCGCCGCCGGTCGACACGACGCGAACCTACCGTAGGCGAGCCAGGACGCTTCGCCACTGCTTGACCAATCACTTCTGCGTGCGCAGTGCTTCGTTGCTCGGATTCCTCAGGAAGGGCTCTGTTGCTCGGATTTCTCAGGAATAGCTTCGCACCCTCGCACCCTCGTGGTGACCCTCGTGTTGCTCCCGTCGCACTTAAGAACCACATCCCAGGAATAATTCCGAGCGCCCGCAGAAGTGTCGAGAAAGCGTGTCGAAACAATGTCGGGCGAGCGTCTCCCAGGGCCCGACACGTGACAACCCTCGAGTTCCGATACTTTTTTTTTTGTGGGGGCTCGACATTCTTTCTGATGATCAAAGCTAAAATAGGTTGGAGCATCATAACCCAAGGGTCCCCCCCGCCAACCCCCGCGCCGTCCCACATGACCCCTCTGGCCAGGGCTGCACCTCGGTCGGAAGAGGTCGGTAAAGCACGAAGCAGGAAGGCGGACGAAACAGATTGGGCTCAGGCACGCCCAGATAATAACGACACACAGCAGAAGCATATCGATTCTTGAGGCAAGCAGGCGCTAGAAATAGAATGGGATCTGGGAGTGCAGAAATACCTACTTTCAACGACAGGCGTGTAACTTCGCACCCTCGTGGTGGCCTCAGGTAGGGCATGTCCCCCTACAGGGGAGCTTGGGCGGAAAATGAACAAATAACCCAAACATGCGGAGGCATAGCAAAAACATGCAAACGCAAATCGTCCCCAGACTATTTCTTTGACTATTCTTCAGTCGTCCTCTTGCAGAGGGACGTGCCCGACTCCGTGGTGGACCCAGGGTAGGGAGCCCACAAAGGACGTACGCGCCCAGCTATGTACATGAACACGGCCCCCTGACCCGCGAGACCGGCCGCGTGATACGAGCATTCGCGCAATGCGAAACCTCGAAAACAGCGTGGATTCATGTACGTGTACGTCCTTCTCTCGCTCCTGACAGGGGTCCCCTCGGCTTTGGACACCCGAAATGGGTACCGAAAGAATGGGTACAATGCCCAACAACAAATGTTGTCCCAAACCAGCAGCGGCCGCTGTTGGGCAGGCGGCCTCCTGTCTCGAATGGACACAGGCCGCGGCGGCGTGGACAGCGAATCCTTTTCAGAATGAAGAAAAACTTGGACGCCCGAATTATCCGGGATAACTCGGGTCCGGGGTAACTCGGGTTCGGATTCCCGAAAAACGAACCCGAGATAGCCCTGACCCGAATTACCCCTGATGATTCGGGGCTCTGGACGCCCGAATTATCCGGGGTAACTCGGGTCCGGGATAACTCGGGTTCGGATTCCCGAAAAACGAACCCGAGTTATCCCTGACCCGAGTTACCCCTGATGATTCGGGGCTCTGGACGCCCGAAATCTCCGGGGTAACTCGGGTCCGGGATGATTAACTCGGGTTCGGATTCCCGAAACACGAACCCGAGACAGCCCTGACCCGAGTCACCCCTGATGATTCGGGGCTCTGAAAAACTGCTGTGAGGCATCGTACCCATTCTTTCCGTGCCCATCTCGGGCGTCCAGACTTCCCGCCAGGCCCGCTCCATCGGTCGGCCTCGAGCCGGTGACCGGCACGCTGGGCCGCGGCATCGACGACGGCAAGCCGAGCGTCGTGAAGGCCGCGGCCGAGGCCGCGCGAGGGGGCCGCCGAGGGGGCCTTCTCTCCCTCCTCTTCCTCATCGTCCTCCTCCTCCTCCCATTCTTTCCGTGCCCATCCCGGGCGTCCAGACTTCCGGCCAGGGCCGCTCTCGGGCGGCGCCGAAGCGCCCCTCCGACGGCCGCGCCTCGCCCCCGCTCGCCCTCCGGTCGCGCAGGCCCCCCCCCGGCAGGCAGAGGCTGGGCGAGAGGTAAAGCACAGTAGTCAGCCAATGCAGAGAGATAGCCCAAAACAGCCAACGACTCGTCTCCAATAGTCAACCAATGCAGAGAAATAGCCTTAAATAGCCTTAAACAGCTTTTAAAACAGCAAATGCAGAACAGTAGTCAGCAAATGCAGAGAGTTTGGGCGAGGCGTTTAAACACAGTAGTCGACCACTGCAGAGAGATGGCCCAAAACAGCCAACGACTCGTCTCCAATAGTCAACCAATGCAGAGAAATAGCCTTAACTTAAATAGCCTTCAACAGCTTTAAAAAAAACTATAGTCGGCCAATGCAGAGAAATAGCCCAACAATAGCCCACGACTCGTCTCCAGACTATTGTTTTGACTGTTTTGAACTATACTCGTCCTGTCGAGGGGCGTGCCCGGCGTGCAACGCTCGCCGTCGCTCTCGGGCGCCCATGCTGCCCGTGTAGTTTTGCGGCCTCGGGCGTCTGTCTTTGACCACCTGCCAGGCTACCCCGACCCAGCCGGAAGACCCAAATTTCGGGTTGGGGGCGGGTGCGGGATCCATGTGTTTCTCCAATGTTCCACGACGCCCCCCCCCACCATACGGAATGGAGGGCAGATTGGGGCCTTCGGGCTGGGTTGCGGTGGATCGGCGGGTGGTGCAGTTGTGCAAAAAGGACAAGACGAAGCCAAGACGAAAAACAATCGGGCGCGGATAGATCGAGAAGTATCTCTGAATTCTGGCGGCTCCGAATGATTTCTCGGGCGACCTGGCCTTCTCAGAGCATTCCGGAACGCTCTGAGAGCGTTCCGGGAAAGCCATGGGGCGGATTCATCCTCGTCCTAGCCCCGTCCGAGAGGAGCCAAGATGCTCCTCTCCACACCCCGGACGTCGTGATCTTTCCACGACGTGGGCCCCCCGAAGTCTCGACGGTTATACCCTGCAGTAGGGGCCCGACCACAAGAGACCTTCCACCAGAAACCCAACACCGAGGCCGCAGGGCATCCATGCGTTTTTGGTGTGGGATCGTCACGCTTTCCATCGCAGAGCCGTCGAAACCGAGGGAACCCAGGGCACCCTGGAGGCAAGCCGGGTATTTCTTGGACTGGGCCCCCACTGTAGGACCAAGTCTTCGTCCTGAATCGTTTTGACGGTCCCGGGGCCCGTGGAGGGCCCTCGGAGGTCGAAATTGGCCCCAGACCTCCCGCCATGACTGTTTCACCACGCGAGGGGCGGTCTGGTCGATGGTCCCTGCCAGGAAATGAAGCACACGTGCAAGAAATGCCAGGCCCCTCGCTTGGGCGCGGCCGGGCCGCGCGGGCCTCGTCGTCGTCGTCGTCGTCGTCGTCGTCGTCGTCGGCCGGCTCATCGTCATCGGGCTCATCGTTGGGCTCGTCGTCGTCGTCGTCGTCGTCGTCGCCAGAAGATCGTTGTCGGGCTCATCGTCGTGGGGCTCATCGTCGGGCTCGCCGTCGTCGTCGTCGTCGTCGGGCTCGTCGTCTTCGTCGTCGTCGTCGTCGTCGTCGTCGTCGTCGTCGTCGTCGCGCGTATCGTCGTCGACGTCCGAGCGATGCCGAGCCCCGCCTGGGCGCGGCTGGGCCGCGCGGGCCTCGTCGTCGACGTCGTCGCCCTCGCCGTCGCCGTCGCCGTCGCCGTCGCCGTCGTCGCCGTCGCCGTCGTCGTCGTCGTCGTCTTCGTCGTCGTCGTCGGGCTCGTCATTGGTCTCGTCGTCGTCGTCGGGCTCATCGTCGTCGTCGGGCTCATCGTCGGGCTCGCCGTCGTCGTCGTCGTCGTCGTCGTCTTCGGGCTCATCGTCGGGCTCGTCGTCGTCGTCGGGCTCGTCGTTGGTCTCGTCGTAGTTCTCGGGCTCATCGTCGTGGACGTCCGAGTGATGCGGAGCCCCGCTTGGGCGCGGCTTGACCGCGCGGGCCTCGTCGTCGTCGTCGTCGTCGTCGTCGCCGTCGTCGTCGTTGACGTCGGGCTCATCGCTGTCGGGCTCATCGTTGGACTCGTCGTCGTCGTCGTCGAGCTCATCGTCGGGCTCGTCGTCGTCGTCATCGTCGTCGTCGTCGTCGTCGTCGTCGTCGGACTCGTCGTCGTCGACGTCCGAGCGGGCCGCGGCTGTGCCGCGCGGGCCTCGGCGTGCCCGTAGCCCTGGGCGCGCGCGCGCGCCGTGGCCGCGCCGCCGCTGCTGGGGGCCGCGCGGCAGCGGCGGCGACGGCGGCGACGGCGGCGACGACGACGACGAGGACGACGAAGACGACGACGACGACGACGACGACGCGACGACGACGAGCCCGACGATGACGACGACGACGACGATGAGCACGACGACGACGCCGACGACCACCCCGACGGCCCCGAGGGAGCAGGAGGAGAGACGAGAGGAGCGAGCGAGGGAGTGAGAGGAGGGGGCAGAACGAGGGGGCCGGGAGGCCCCAAGAGGCCTCAGGTGTCCCCGAGAAGCCCTCCAGGAGGCCCCTGAGAGAAATGCCAAGAGATCCTCAGACTCATCCAAGAGGCTCCCAACCCACAGCCCAGTCACGGTGGCGGCTTGAGCCGAAGGCCACTCGAGAACTTCCACGATCGTCGCAAGCTCTGACTCCTTCTGGGGGTCGGCAGAATGGCGTAAGCCACTCGAACAAGAGGAGGGAGCATAATGAGGGAGCAAGAGGATAATCATATATTATGATGGTGATGATAATGATAATGATACTGATAATGATGATGATAATGATAATGATGATGATGATGATGATGATGATGATGATGATGATGATGATGATGATGATGATGATGATGATGATGATGATGATGATGAGGATGATGCTGACTACATAATGATGAGCAACGGTCGACGCTGCAACTGAACAACCGTGCACTCGTCGTCACAGCCGTGCGTTGACAACAAACAACTGGTGACTCGGAGCTCGACTCCTTAGCCTCCTCCATCCCTCCCTCGCTTCGCGAAGCTACCAAGCAAATAATATCAAACACCCACTAGCAGCCCCCAAGAAAAGACCCTCAAGCGGTCCAATGTGCCTCCAAAGGTCTCCCAAGAAGCCTCCGATCGGCCGCAAGTGGCCCAAGTCTGTCTTCAGAGAGACCCCCAACAACTTACCATTTTTCCCCCAACCATCGTGTGGTGTGGGGTCCTCGTTTTGAAGAGACGGTCCCCCGCGTCTTCTCTCCTCCTGCTCCTCCTCCTCCTCCTCTTCCTCCTCCTCCTCCCCTCCCGTCACCCCCCTCCACTTCGGCACACCCCTCACACTTTTCGTGGCCCCATAAGGAGCTCCACCGAGGGCCCCAGTGGCATAGTTCGCATACCGCCCTCCCTCCACTTTGGCACACCCCATTATGGAGCTCCACCGAAGGCCCCGCAACCCCTCCACATTGGCACACCCCTCGCACGTTTCGTGGCCCCATAGGGAGCTCCACCGCAGGCCCCAGTGGCAGGGTTCGCATGCCGCCCCCCTCCACTTTGGCACACCCTTAGGGAGCTCAACCGAAGGTCCCGAGGGCATGGTTCGCATGCCGCCCCCCCTCGACTTTGGAACACCCCCCTCACACGTTTTGTGGCCCTATAGGGAGCTCCACCGAAGGCTCCAGTGGCAAGATTCGCATGCCGCCCCCCTCCACTTTGGCATACCCCTCGCACGCTTCGTGGACCCATAGGGAGCTCCACCGAAGGCCCCAGCGGCAAGATTCGCATGCCGCCCCCCTCCACTTTGGCACACGCGCACGCTTCGTGGCCCCATAGTGGCCCCATAGCTCCACCGAGGGCCCCAGCGGCATGGTTCGCATGCCGCCCCCCTCCACATTGGCACACCCCTTGCACGTTTCGTGGCCCCAGAGGGAGCTCCACCGAAGGCCCCAGCGGCAAGATTCGCATGCCGCCCCCCTCCACTTTGGCTCACCCCTTCCACACTTCGTGGCCCCATAGGGAGCTCCACCGAGGGCCCCAGCGGCATGGTTCGCATGCCGCCCCCCTCCACATTGGCACACCCCTTGCACGCTTCGTGGCCCCAGAGGGACCTTCACCGAAGGCCCCAGCGGCAATATTCGCATGCCGCCCCCCTCCACATTGGCACACCCCTCACACGTTTCGTGGCCCCATAGGGAGCTCCACCGAAGGCCTCAGCGGCATGGTTCGCATGCCGCCCCCCACTTTGGAACACCCCGCATACGCTTCGCGGTCCCATAGGGAGCTCCACCGAAGACAGTGTTCACAACGGAGGCGGTATTCACAACTGCATATGGTTGGGTCCTTCGCCAGCATATTTTCCCAACCATCCTGTGGTGTTGGGTCCTTGTTTTGAAGAGACAGCGCCCCGCGTTCCTCTCCTACCGTACTCTCTTCCTCCTCCTCCTGATCCCCTCCTCCCTCTCATCCCTTGCACCCCTCGCACATTTCGTGACCCCACAGGGAGCTCCACCGAAGGCCCAAGTGGCAGGGTTCGCATGCGATTCCACCCCCATTTCGGTACACCCCTAACACGTTTCGTGGCCCCGTAGGGCGCTCCACCGAAGGCCCTGGTGGGAAGGTTCGCATTCAGTGCCACCCCGATTTCGACACTCCCCTCACACGTGGGCCCATTGGGAACTCAACCAAACTCCCCAGTGGCAAGGCTCGCATGCGGTTCCTCCCCTATTTTCGACACACCCCTCCAACGTTTCGTGGGCCCATAGAGATCTCCACCGAAGGCCCCAATGGCAAGGTTCGCATGCGGTTCCACGCCCAATTCTGGCACACCCCTCACACGTTTCGTTGCCCATAAAGGAGATCCACCGAAGGCCCCGGTGGTAAGATTCGCATGCGGTTCCACGCCCATTCCGGCACACCCCTCACACATTTCGTGGTCCATAAAGGAGTTCCACCGAAGGCCCCAATGGCAGGGTTCGCATGCGGTTCCACCCCCATGTCGGCACACCCCTCAAACGTTCCATGGCCCCGTAGGGAACTCCACCGAAGGACCCAGTGGCAGGGTTCGCATGCGGCTGCACCCCCATGTCGGCAAACCCCTCACACGTTTCGTGGCCCCGTAGGGAACTCCACCTGAGGCCCCAGTGGCAGTGTTCGCATGCCGTTCCACGCCCAATTTCGGCATATTTCTCAGCCACGTCCCGTGGCCTCATAGGGAGCTCCACCGAAGACGATACGCACAACTGCGGCACTCACAACTGCATTTGGTTGGTTCCTTCGCCAGGTTAATTCTCGGCGGGCCGAGAGATTGCTCTGCCGATGACGGCCTCCGGCGGCAGCTGTACTGCGCGCTCGAGAGAAAGATGAAACATCGAACAATCGAAAGTTGACACGATGTTAATTAGAGAGCAGTGGGTGTGTACCTATCCTTGGCTCTGGCCTGGACCTACCCGAACTTCAAATCAATCGTCAGCATGCCGCCTCCCGCAGGCTGCCGCGAGTCAAAAACGAAGGAGAGAAGAGGTGCAGGAATTGAATGGAAAGGGATGTCCAAAGGGGGAATGCACACCACTTAACCTGATCGGGAAAGAGTGGGAAGCGCCGATTTTGTCCATTGGGCTCGTATGGAGGAAAAGACAACAAGAATGATGGCGACGACAAGGCAGCGGATCCCGAGGATGGCAGCGTGGATGACGGGGAGGGAAGCGAGGGGAGCAGGAGGACAACGAGTAAAATCACAAGCACGAGGACGAGCAGGATATGGACAAGGACGAGTACGAGGAGGAACGAAGCGGAGGGGGAGGAGGAAGAGGAGGAGGTGGAGGAGGAGGAAGAGGAGGAGGAGGAGGAGGAGCAGAAGGAGGAGAAGAAAAAGGACGACGACGACGACGAACGGTAAGGAGCCCGACGAGAAGGACGTCGAAGAAGACAGGGGTCCTCGTGATCTTTTGAAGCTACCCTGGGGGCTGTTGGGTCCGTCTGGGGCTATCTTGGGGCATCCTCGGTGCCTCTTGGGAGCCTGTCGTGGCTCTCTTGGGGGCTACTGGGGTCTTGTTTTGCTGTCTGGGCATGTCTTCGGGTTCTGTGGGGGCTCGCTCAAGCCATCTTGGCGCCATCTTGAGTTGTCTTGGGCCGTCTTGGGGCCCTCCTGGCCAGTCCCAGAGCCTCTTCGGGGGCTCTGGGGGGCCTCTGGGTGCATCTTGGGGGCCACTCGGAGCGCTTTTCGAATCCCCTGGGGGGCCTTTGGGAGCTCTCATGGGTCGTTTTGAAGCCCTCCGGGAGCGATTCCAAGGTATGCTTGTCAGGAGTCCTCTCCTGAGCAGATTTTCCGAGGATATCTCGAGCGCAACGGCCATTTGCCTGTCATCCGCCAACAGAATTCCCGGTGCATTCCGCACTCCTTAGTGAAAGAAAAATCATACCCCTGGACCAACGGTGCACGCCAGAGCCTGATATATATATATATATATATATATATATATACACACATATATATATACATATATATATAAACAAAAAACGCAACCCCGCTCTAAGAGGTCTCGCGAGCTCCCACGTAGCCAGCCACAGGACCGACTAGCGCGTATGCAGCGGTGGCAACGAGGGCCTCCCAGGAGGCCAGGAGGCCCAGGAAAAGGGGAAAACACGGGAAGGGCAGCGGTATGGATCCCGTTTCCTCCTGTGTCCTGGGAGGTCGGGCGCGGGGCGAACGCAGAGGGGGGGGGCTTTCGCGCAGGTCTCGTGCAAGCGGGGGCAGGCGGGGAGGGGTGCCAGGAGCGGACTTGGAGGACACATGACACAGACTCAAAACGTCGTCAACCAAAATCAATCAGGAAAAGAAGACGAAACATCTTCCCATACGATTTCTTTACTATCCTTGAGTACTCCACCTGTAGAGGGACATGCCCGACGGAAGGGGGAGGAGGAGGAGGAGGAGGAGGAGGAGGAGGAGGAGGAGTAGGAGGAGGATGAGGAGGTCCCTGGAAGTCTCGGGGAGTCTGGGTGAGGGGCGTCCTCGAAGCCTCGGGGAGCGAGGGGTGCGTTCGCGGCCCTGCAAACTGGGAGAGGGTGCCGAACTCCCGTGGGAGAAAGAGGGGGCACTCCCGGAAGACTCGAGTTCAGAGCCCTCAGATGCCTTTGAGTTTGCTGTGGTGGGTCTTGTACATGCTCTTTGACGTTCCTAGGGCACCGGCTTCTGTAAGACGAAGCTAGGGAGAAGATAACACCAGGA